CCTGCTGACTTGGGCCGTACCTCAGTGGGCCCTCCCCTACCTCTGCCGGCCCATCCCTGCCTCGTTGGGCTCTCCCCTATCTTGTAGCAGGCTCAGTGCTTTGTCACTTGATCCTAGTGCTACTGTCCACCTGCACTTCCAGGGCAATGCTCTAATTAAAAGAAATTTGTTTTTGCTTACTACGCACCATTCCTTTATGTTACTTCAACCCACTTTAAATAGTGTTATTGTTGGCTACCATTATATGGAGTGAGAGCAGACTTGATAATTTCGTACTTATTGAGAACGTATTTGAAAAGTACATTAGTTTTAATTTATTTGGGATCTATTTACATTAAAGCAGGAAGACCTTTGAAAATAGCTATAAAATCTTCAGTTTTCAGTCGATTTTCATTGATTTTTTCAAAGGCTTCCATTTCCACCGCTTTTCTCATAAAAACATGGCAGCCAGTGTACCTGCAAGAAGATGTAATCCTTGAGCCCATTCTCTCATCTATAGAATGAGTCTTGGCCTGAATGACATCTCAGACCTTGTGACTATATGTTAATTAGAACCAGTTATCTTTTTACACACACAAAAATGCACATGTCTGCACACACACAGATCATAATATATGCAACTGTGAAGAAGGAAAGAGAACATAATGACTTTAGGGTTTGAGGTCCCTGAATTTGGAGAAGGCTCTAAATGGAGCACAGAAAAGACTACAAATGGGAAAATAGGGTAGACATTAATATTCAGTAATATTTCTCAGTCTTGCCCAGAATGTTCCACTTTATCTTCAGTAGGTTAAGGGTGGATAGAAGTTTAGCCTTAAAATATTTGTCATGCAGAAGAAAGCTGAAGTAGCTCCGCTTTGTATTTTATTTAAAATGTAAATATTGAAGTGGAGGAGTGAAACAACTCGAAAAAATCTGTAAAAAGAAGCGTGCAGTCTACGGCCACACTGCCCTGAACACACCCGATCCCGTCTGATCTCGGAAGCTAAGCAGGGTCGGGCCTGGTTAGTACTCAGATGGGAGACTGTCCAGGAAGACCAGGTGCTGTAGGTGTTAATAAAAAAAAAAGGCATGCAAGGTTTACTTGGGGATATGACATGGATATGATATGCAGTGTATAGACTGAATTAGGGGCTGTGTTTAAAAATTACGATAAAGGGTGTTGTTGAGACAGTTGATGAAATTACAGAATATATATTAGATAGTAGTAACATATACTAATTAAATCCCTGAATTTGATTATTGTGCTGTCATTATTTAAGAGAATGTTTTTATTCTTAGGAAATACACACTAAATATTAAAGGGTAAAGAGGGTAACTACTCAGATGGTTTAGATGATACATATATGCAAACCCATGTAAATATTAAATACGTGATGAGAGAGCTTAAAATTATTTGCTTACAAATCAGCCCGTGACCTGGTTTCTTTGCTCAGATTGACCCAGATATGGTTTGTTCGCCATAGTCTTCTGTAATACTTGTAGTACTAAGTCTTAATTTTAAATGGAGTACTATGACTATGCCAACATGTGATGAGTTGAAAATATTCTGTTAGGTGTGATTTCTTAATTGATTCAATTTGTTTTAATCATTGAAAATAATCCCTTGTCTAACACATGAATAAATTAAATTTTTCATAGGTTTAAGCTGAATTTTGGGACATGGCCACTGCTTCACCAAGGTCTGATACTAGTAATAACCACAGTGGAAGGTTACAGTTACAGGTAACTGGTAAGTTATTTTTTCTAATAATTTAAAATAGTGCTTTCCAGATGAAACTTTCCTTTAATCCTAATTCAGTGGGTTTATTCTGTATCTTTTCTTTGAGAGTCATACCATAGTGTATTTGTTGCAATAGACCTCAAAGGTAGATACCCGCATTTTATTTATTCAGTAAATGTTTATAGAACCTGTGCTGGCTGCGAAGAGGATATGTCTTTGGTCATGGGAGAATTTAGATATTGGAATAGGCATCATCGATTTGGTCCATAAATGATTATTAGGATGGAGAAGGAAGCCAGAGCACAAGGCCCTGGTTCCCCAGGAATTTACAGTGGTGAAACAGGTGCATTTTGTAAAGACAGTTACCATGCAGCGTGCTCATTAACCTGGTGCAGCGAGAGCGTAGGTCAAGGTGCGTTAGGTCTGCTCGAGACTGGAGCAGGCCTGTGGACTTACGGACTAGTGTAGGGGAAGGACTCACGGAGGGCGACGCTGTAACTCCTCGGGAGGAGTCGGAGTTGGTCTCAAGTTAGATTGGCAGCAGAGCGCGTTGGAGGGAGGGGTCAGCGTTTGCAAAAGGATGAAGGATCCATGGTCCCATGGTTAGGTCCCTTCAGATCAGTTGTCCTTGCTGGTTGGAATACACGATTCCAGGCGCAGTGGTCCGTTGGCCAGCGGTTGTACTTGTAGAAATTTATTTTGCAGATTTTATACTGTTTATATCATTATAAACAATACTTTATAATTTATGAAGTATTATATCATTTACATAATTATAAACTATATAATTTAATGTTTATATTTGTTATTTATATAAACAATATAAATATCTGCAAGATAATTTCCTAGAAGTAAAGTACGTATAGAGTTTGTAATGTATGCTATGTATAAATAAGAGTGTGTGCGTGTACGTCAACGTCGAGAGACATGGCGATGGAGACTGGCAGTGGGGTTCCAGGCAGGCAGGGGAATGAAGTGAAGAGAAGGAACTGAATGTGCGTGCCAGTGAGAGCCAAGTGCTGAGATGGCACCGCCGATCCATGCAAGGCAGGGTGTGGAATAGTGTGTGTAATAAGCTCCCACATGGGTGCACACCAGGAAGTGTGTGTGCATGGCTCTGTGCCTGGAGCGTTGGGAGTAAGCTTTGTCTCAGGAGGGCAGGAGTCAGGTCAGGTAAGCAGACGCCCTGTAACCCCGTGGCTCTCCTGAGTGTGAGGTCAGTTGTTTCTAGTTCATGGTGAACAGAGGGAGGAAATGCTTCCTGTCTTAGAAAGCAAAAAAGAAATCCTGACTTCCCTCTGATGTTTCTATTTCCGAATAACAAAAGGTATTTATACTTAATTTGACTTTCTCTTTAACCTAAAAGTCTTAATTCCAAATGGCAACATAGTTATATCTGTTCTCTCCTAACACACACAAAATAGCAATGTTAAAACTGTCAAAACAGTAGGGCTGCTCAGTGCAGTCTGAGATCTCTGTGAGTCCCCCCTAAGGTATGTAGTCAATACCACGTTTCAAAGTAGTTATGCCACCCACCGGGCGATCAGATTCATTGTTTCCAGTTATTTATTACATTTTATCACCATGGAAAGCATTTGTGCAGTTCTTGAGTCTAAACCCAGGCATTTGGAGATGCCTGGCTGCTCCTCCCGTCCCTCCCTCCCCCTTGCCCTATAGACATCGTTAGCTTTGGTCCCTCCTTCCATTGCTGCTTTTTGGAAGCATAGGCAGATATGTACGATACATGCGGTCATCTCTCTGCTCCCAAACCCCAGTTCTTCGCAACTTCTGCACTTGCTTTTCTTCATTTAACAGTGACGCCTGGAGTTTGCTCTGTGGCGGGTGACCGCGTGAACCAGAGGTGCCAGTCTCCCCCCGGGGGCTGGGGCCTCCACTCTTCCCTTCTTGTCACCTTCGCCTTTCGTTCTGTCGAGTACCTTACACCTACAGCCTTACCGATCTAGCGGCACCTGCTGGAATGACTGTACTGCTCTCGTTTGTCCCATGTGGAAACGGAGATGGATCAGACACGTGTCTGCCTTTGGGACAGAGGCCAGCGGAGGTCTTAGGCTCCACGCTGAGGGCCTCTTACTAGAGAGCGGTGACCGTGGCATTGTTTTCTCTTTTTAAGATGATCAGATAGTATGACGATGAAGGCTCCTTGCCTGTCGCAGGCTGGCAGGTCATGGTCTTCAAACTGAGAAACTCGATTAGCTGACTTATTTTTATTCTTATTTCTTTTCTTAACCCACATCTGATTGGCAGCAACAAATAAGAATTAGAACATTTATCAAGGAAAGCAGGATAACTAATAGAAAAAAGTCAGGAAACTACCTGCCATGATATGATTTATACTGTAGTGTGGTATGCACGTGTGTGTATTTATTCTGTAGTGTGGTATGTACGTGCATAAGAGCACACAGAAGTGAATCTTCTTCAATACTTTAGATTTCCTGCTTTCTACAGGAAAAGGTGAGAAACCAAGTGTTTAAGTTGTATGAAAAGATAAGACTTGAGAGTGAAAAACTAATGGGCTGTTGTATTCACATTTAGAAATTATTAGCTGTTGTGTCTTTTAATAGTTTCACTTTAAAAAATTTTAAATCATTTGTATCTTATTTTTATAGGAGTATTGTGAATTATAGATTCAACTTTATTCTTTTGAAATGCTTCAACATTTATGGAATAACTGCCTTTCTCGTTGATTTGAAATGCCACGTCATCAGATACTAACATCTCATTCTGTTCTTTTCACCTCTGCTCTTATATCACAGGCAAACTTAATTATTTTATAGTACTTTAAAATATATACATTGGGAAAAATCTCTCATTACTTTGCATTTTAAAACATGCCTTCACTAGAGGCTTTTGAAAAAAAATGGGAGAGAGGCTTTGTTCATGCCTCTCGTGACCACATTAAAGCTGTGACAGAAACACAGAGCAAACAGCAAGCACAGTCACCTGGGATCTAGACTAATAGAAGCCCTACACTTAGGGAGAGAAATAATTAACCTGCAGTGGTGAAGGGAGGGGGCAAAGGCACCAGGCGGCCCAGTCCCAACGGCTGAGTGGGACAGAGGCTGCGACAGCTGCAGACGCCTCTTAAAGGGGCCGTGTCCGCAGTTGGACTTTCACGGTGACGGACCTGCTCGTCCTGAGCACCAGCACTGGGTCAGCTGCGCGGGGGCCACCAGGCACTTACCGGGGGACACGGAGTTGCCGGAGCGAGGGCTGGGGGCGAGGCTCTCTCCCAGGCATAAGTGCTGGCGGTGTCCACCGTTCCTCTGTGGAGCCTTCCTCGCTACCAGTGTGCGGACCCAGCGCTGCCACAGCTGAGACATCATTCCCCCAGAGGATTTCCCAAAACTTGGCCTCCCCCAGCTGGCAGCCCCATCCAAGCCACATCCAGGGTGTAACCTCAGCAAGCGCAGTGCTCCTTGCTGAGCCAACTCCAAGACTCACACTCGTGGCAGCTGACCTCAGTTTCTGGAGTGGCCTTTTGAAGCAACCAACTGTAAGCACAGCATCTGTGGTTCGCTTGCTGAATCTTAACAGGTGGCCCTGGAGGGGTAGAGGCTTGGGCTAAATTTGGCCCACAGCTGAACCCCTCTCAAGACTGTGCCATTGGACACCTACCTCACAAATCCACACTAATAAGACCGGGAGACTAAGAGCTTTGCTTAGTTCATAGAAACAGACACAGAAAGGCAGCCAAGATGGGAAGACAAAGAAGCAGAAACCATATGAGAGAACAGAACAGAGATCCAGAAATAATGGAGTCAAGCAATCTACAGATGCAGAGTTCAAAACGCTGGTTAGAAAGATGCTCAATGAACTTAGGGGAAATGTGGATGAATTCAGTGAGAACTTTAACAAAGAGATAAAAACCATAAAAGTGGAAATGGAAATTATAAAAGGGAACCAGTCAGAAATGAAGAACACATTATCTGAGATGAAGAGTATATTAGAGGGAATCAACAGAGTGGATGAAGAAGAGGATCGAACCACTGACACAGGATGGGGAAGCCAAGGACACTCAACCGGAACAGCAAGAAAAAGGAGCCTGTGGGACACAATTAAATGAAAAAATATCCGTGTCATAGGAGTCCCTGAAGGAAAACAAGAAGTCGAAGAGCTATTTGAAGAAATAATGATGGAAAACTTCCTTACCCTGGTGAAGGAAGTAGACATGTAACCCCAGGAAACTCAGTCACCAAAAAGGTGAACCCAAAGAGGCCCACACCAAGACACATCATTTTGAAAATGCCAAAGTTTAAATACAAAGAGCATCAAGAGAAAAGCAGTTACCTCCAAGGGAACACCCGAAAGACTGGTAGCTGATTTCTCGAATTATGTAGAACAGAAGGGTTTGGCACAAAAAATTCAATGTGGTGAAAACCCAGGATCTACAACCAAGACTACTTTATCCAGCAAAGCTATCATTTAGAGTCGAAGAACAGATAAAGAGCTTCCCAGACAAAAATAAGCTAAAGGAATTTATGAACACCAAGCCAGTATTACAGGAAGTATAGGAGGGACTTCTTTAAGAAGATAAAACAGGTATCAAAAACAGGAATAAAGAATGGTAATAACTACATTCCTATCAACAACTGCCTCATGGAAAAGAATTAAGTGCTCCAACCAAAAGATAGAGTGGCCGAATGGATAGGAATAAAATACTCCTACATATATATATTTCCTACAAGAGACTTCAGATTAACAGGCAGACTAAAAGGAAGGGGACGGAAAAAGATACTGCCTTGATGGACCTAGAGGGTATTGCACTGAATCAAATAAGTCAGAGAAAGACAAATATCACAGGATTTCATGAACACGTGGAATCTAAAGAACAAAATAAACAACAAAAAAACTCCTACAGAGAATATTTTGAGGGCTACTAGATGTGAGGGGTGTTGGGAGGGATGGTGGCAAACAGCAAAGGGATTAAGTACAAATGGATAGTTACAAAATAGACACGGAGATATAAAATGTAGCATAAGGAAAATAATAATGTAATAAATATGTAAGAGAGAAGAAGGGTACTAGATTTAGTGTAGTGATCACTTTGTGAGTTATACAGATCTCTAATCACTGCTGTCCAACTCAAACTATATTAGTAGTAGTAATGTATCGTTGTATGCCAACTATAATTGAAAAAAATCTCGTTGAATGGTACAATGTACATACGAGCAACTAATTGTCTATTATATTTCAATAAAGCCGGGGTGGGGGGTGGATTTTAAAATAGAACGTGCCTTCTCATTCTCTAATTTTCCGTACTTTTCATTTGAATTTGAGTCCCCCGCCCTTTTCCTCTGTTGCCCTTTCAACAAAAGCCTTCAAAACCATGTTAGTCTTTTCATCTAGATCATTTAAAAATAATGTATTAAATTGGAGATAATTGAAATTATTCAGTGTTAAAACTTCCAAATCCAGGAATATGTCATGTCATTTTCTTCAAGTCTTCTATCAGTGAAGTTTTATAGTAATCCTCATTGTATCCTATACATTTAAGTTTATTACTAAAATTTTGGGTGGGGGGTATTATAATTGAGATTTAAAAATTTTCTCTTTATATCACACAAACAACTCTTTTTGGTAGATTTTCAGTATTTATATAATTTCACATACAGGACATTCTATGTAGAATACCAAATTAAACTCAGTAATGGGAAAATAAAATTATGTATGCCACTAATTAGAATTTTTATTTTAATAAGGTTATCTTTTAGTTATTTAAAATCATACTATTCTAGCTATTTGTATGCACATTTTGCCAGCATATTGTAAATTTCTTACGAGATTAAAAATTATCTTTTAAAAAACCACTTTCCTTACCTTGCCAGCATCTGGTGTGATTGAGGACTTTGCTAATTGAAGATAGTAGCTGCGTTTTGAATGTTTCTGCAGTTAAGGCTGAAGAGTCAGTAATGATGGCATGATCGTCACCATTGTTGGGTGCTGGCTCCCGTTGATGATGATAGTGCTTTGCGTGCCTTCACTCACCACCAATCCTAACAATCAGGTGCTATTGTTCCCCTGTTTTTCAGATGAGAAAATTGAAGGTCAGAGAGGTTAATCGACTTACTTAAGGTTAGGTGTCTAGTAAGTGGCAGAGTTAAAATATGAGCCCAGATATGTGCAGCCCAGCACCTTTTCTTTTTAAAGACAATTTTAAAAGCAGCTTTAGGTTTGGAGCAACATCGAGAGGCAGATACAGAGATTCCCACACGCCCCCACACACATACAGCCTCCCCTGTTACAGAGATTCCCACATGCCCCCACACGCATACAGCCTCCCCTGTTACCATCACCCTACCTCCCAGTGGAACATTCGTTACAGCTGATGAACCCACACAGCTACAACGTCATCAGGGTTTGTAGTTTTACCTTAGGGTTCACTCCTGGTGTACATTCTGTGGATTTGGACAAGTGTATAATGTCTTGTATCATTATGGTATCACACAGAGTAGATTCTCTGTCCTAAAAATCCTCTGTGTGTCACTTACTCATCCTTTCCTCTGACCTCCAACCCCAACTCCTGGCAATCACTGGTATTTTTACTGTCTGCATAGTTTTGCCTTTTTTAGGATGTTGTAGAGTTGGAATCATGCATTATGTAGCCATTTCAGACAGGCTTCTTTCACTTAGTCATTTGCGTTTACGGCACTTCCTCGTGCTTCCACGGCCTGACAGCTCATTTCTGTTTAGTGCCAAGTAACATTCCATTGTCTAGGTAGACCACAGTTCATTTATCCATCACGCGAAGGGCATCTTGGTTGCTTCCAAGTTTTGGCAATTATGAATAAAGCTGCTATAAGCATCCATGTGCAAGTTTCTGTGTGGACATAGTTTTTACCTCCTTTGGATAGATACCAAAGAGTACAATTGCTGGATCGTATAGTAACCGTGTGTTAAGTTTGTAAGAAACTACCAAACTGTCCTCCAAAGTGGCTGTACTGCTTCGATTCCCACCGGCAGCGAATTAGCGTTCCTGTGGCTGCACATCCTCGTCGGCACTTGGTGTCATCGGTGTCTCGGATTTGGGCCATTCTGATGGGTGCACAGTGGGGTCTCACTGTCATTTTAGTTTAATGTGTCTCTGATGACATAGGCTGTGGAGCATCTTTTCAGATGCTTATCTGCTGCCTTACATCTTTGGTGAGTGTCTGTTAAGCTTTGGACCATGTTTTAATCAGGTGGTTTTCTTGAGTTTTAAGTATATTTTGGACTACATTTCTTTGTCAGATGTGACTTTTGGTAAATATGTTCTCCAATTTTGTGGCTTGTTTTCTCATTTTCTTGACATCTTTCACAGAGCAGAAGTTTTTAATGAAGTTCTGCTTATCATTTTTTTCATGGATTGTGCCTTGGATATTATATCTAAAAAGTTATGTTCACACAAAAGTGCACTAATGTTCATGGCAATATTATGCATAACAGCCAAAAAGTGGGGACAACCTAATGTCTAGCCGTTGGCGAATGGAGCGTGAGGAGTGGTGGAGCGTCCATCCAGGAGTGTCATCTGTCAGTGAGAGGGACGAAGTGCGTGTGCGTGCCGCCACCTGTGCGAACCTCGAAAGCACGCTACGTGAAGGAGGCCAGTCACGAAAAGACCACGTGTATGAGTTCATGTAGATGAAGTATCCAGAGCAGTAGGCAAATCTGTAGAGAAAGAAAGTAGGTTACTACAGTTGAACAAGGTGGGAGTTAGGGATCCTGACCCCTGGGTAGTAAAAAATCTGAGTATAACTTTTGACTCCAAAAACATAACTACTAATAACTTACTGCTGACCAGAACCTTACCCGATAACAGTGAGTTAACGCACACTTTGTATGCTATACGCATTACATACTGTGTTCTTACAACGAACTAGAGAAAAGATGTTGTTAAGGATGGGGAAATAGTTACAGTGCTATACGTGTTTTTATGGAAAAATGCACATAAGTGGACCTGTGTAGTTCAAGCCTGTGTGGTTCGAGGGTCAACTGTAGTTTCCTTGGGCTGGGAGGTCAGGGGAGTTGGGAGGTGCTGGGAGGAAACAGGGCGGTGACTGGCTAATGATATGGGATATCTTTTTGGGGTGATGACTGTTTTTTAAAATCAATTGTGGTGATGGTTGCACAACTACCATTAAATTGTATAGTGAAAATGAGTGAACTATATGGTATGTGAATTATATTTCAGTAACATTGTTAAAATGTCAAATGGTTCTCAGGCATTATCATACTCCTGTTATAATGCTGTTTTTTTTTGTTTTTTTGTTTTTCATTTTTTCAATGAAAAGAGTTTGAGTTGCATAAGAAGCACAGTTCCATTTTTATTTATTAGTGCAAAATACTGTTTTCTGGCTACATATATTCACTAGTGAATATCATGTTTCTGTTAGTTTCTAGTGCCAAACTAAAAAGAAAAAAGAACTGGTTTGGAACAGCAATATATACAGAAGTAGTCGTAGATGGAGAAATTAAGAAAACAGCAAAATCCAGTAGTTCTTCTAATCCAAAATGGAATGAACAGCTAACTGTGTAAGTACCTTATATAGAGAATGCAAAATTTTCAAAAGGGAGTGTGATTCTTGGAATTATTTTTATTATTATTTTGTAGTGTAACTAATTATCCAGTATGAATGGACAACTTAAAATATGAAAAAATTTTGAGTTAATTTCATTGTCTTTACAGAGGAAGCATACTAATCCTTTTGCTTTATGAAGTAAATTATTTCCACATAGCGATGTTTTATTACTGTCTTGGAAAAATAAATAGGGCAGAAAATCAATTATTCTTAATTTTGGCATTTCTGAAATATACAGTGTTATAAATTTGTGTAACAAATTAGAACCAATGCCATCAGTCGTCTTAAATCTTTAGAAATTTGTTCAAATAGAAATAGTCCTTGTGAAGTCTCAGACTCTTGGTGTATTCTTGTTGTTTTGGTTCGCTAATTATAAACATTCTCATCTGGCTTTTGAAGTCCTAATGTTCTTGAAAGTAAATACTCTTAATAATTCAAGTAGTTTACTGTTTCATACAATATTTTTTTCCTCAGATAAACTGAATCATGGCTTTTAAAAATTTATTGAAGTAAATTAATAGGAATTATCACTTAGAATAATGGAATATCCTCCTGTATTTTTGTTATGATTTTACCTGTACAGAAACGTGACCCCACAGACCACACTGGAATTTCGAGTTTGGAGCCATCACACTTTAAAAGCAGATGCTTTATTAGGAAGAGCAACCATAGATTTGAAACAAGCTCTGTTAACACACGACAGAAAGTGTAAGTTTTTCGTTCTAACTTTTCTTTCTTCAAAAGTTTGTTTTAGACACTTTGAACGTGTCCTGAAGCCCTAAAGCAAGAATGTAGTTTCGCATTTGTAAAGGAGAACTTGCGTTGGCCTGTGGCTGTGGCGTTATATGCAATAGGGAATGTTTGCCGTGGCCTTTGTCCGCCCCGCAGATTTACAGAACCATCTGTCATTCACGACTTCTCCAGAGCAGGAGTACTTGCAGCGAGATGACTAGGACACAGGTTTTCTGATTCACAGGTGCTTAATTTTGATTAGAAGCAGTAGAAATTAATACGACTCTAGATAGACAGCCTTGTAGAATTGAAAAATACACTGACAATTGATAAAATTCTTGGCTGCTGTTCTTCTGGCCTCTTGGCTCAGCACTTCACTTGGGCTTGAGTTTGGCATCAGTTGAATGAGCTGAAATTAAATTTGGGGGGTGTTGTGGGATTTATTTTTAAAAAGAAGCAAACCAATAAAAACTGCTTATAAACCAAACAACCCAACAAAAACATGACAAGCTAGTGATGAATAAAGTTATGTTCAGCACTAAAAACATTTCCTGTCAAATATGAATTCACTCACTGGTCTGTGGGGGAAGGTTGATAATAAAAAGGTGTTATGTTTTTGAGATGTGCCATACCCAGAGAATGTTTGATAACCAGCACCCTAAATGTCCAGAATCCGGCCGCACAGAGAAGACCCCAGCGGAGGGGGTTGGCAGGGCGTCCGCACCGGGTCACAGAGCGTGGGTTTTACGGGAGGAAGCAGCGGCATGGTGTCCCGAGAGAAGGAAGGCAGACTGAGACTTTAGGTCACATGATGATGACAGGGAGAGGAACATGGAGCGCCCTGGGTCTCATGTGCCGGAAGGTTCCGGGACACTTTCTGGCAAGACACTTCAGAAAGTTTGTGGTGTGAATGGCAGGCGGGGTAAAGTCCTCGAAGGCGGATCACAGTATGGGGGAGGTGACTGGAACCAGAAGAAATATCTGTGGGGGCCGTGCTGTTCTAGGGTAATTTTAGGGGCGAAGAGACATGATGTGGTCACAGTGGGAAATGTGGCTAGTGCAACTGAGGAGCTTAGTTTTAAATTTTATTTCACTTTAATTAACTTTAAATGTAAATAGCCACACGTGACTACTAGTGGCTGTCATGTTGGATAGTGCAGCCTGGAACTATCTTCTTATGTTCGAGTTACAAAATCAGAGTTTATTCCTGTTTTTCAAAAAAAGAAAAAAGCTTTTTGCGCACGTATTCTGTTTTCCTTCATAGAGTTTCAGGTTTTACAGTAGCTGTCACACCGGCTCTCTGGTAAGGGTCAGTTCTAGAAGCTCCTTTAGTGCGTTTTCTTAATTGCTGGTCCAAAATCTGTTTTGTTTTAGGAAAATCTCTCAATTTAGTAGAGTCCAGGTTTCTCCCTTACTGCGATTCTCTGCCATTTGTCGTTTGTGTTGCTTCTGGCCCCATATCTGTGTTATTTCATCATGGCCACCTCTCCCCCTAGGCATGTCATGCCATCTCTTAGCTGGGTCTCTGTTTTGTTTGTAGCTCCTTTCTTTGTTGTCTCCAGTGCTGTTTTGAAGTTTTCATGGTTACTATTATGTTTCTGGTTTTCTCTCCAAAGTCATTTCTTTTATAATAGTTCTTAGGATTTTATTTAAAGTTCTCAAAACACGTATTAGTCAATAGATCTTCTTTACCTACGATCTTAAATGCTTTTTCCTATAACTTAAGGATTGTTTCTTTTGACCTCAGCAGTCTTTTAAATCAGACCTAAGTTGCTTTATTTTTCCACTTGTTAACAGCTAGTAAGGCTTATCTTCTCATTTCTAATTACTTACGATATTTTAAAATAAAGATGCCTAGATGCCTTTGTTTTGGTTTTCATATGTTTGGTTCAAAGCTTCCTGTCTTCCTAGAAGTTGCATACGATACCTATTTTGTGCTCTGATAACTTGAGAGAAGTTAGAAGCCCATAAAAGTAACTGTATCTTCACTTTCTTAGATCTAAGACTTTTATTTATTAAATAAACATTTACTGAGTTTAAGGAAGAAACTTAGGAAATATGAAGAATACACGGTTTCTTCCCGCGTGATAGGAATCCAGCAGTCCGCAGTCTCCATATCTAAGTGTCTCGCGGGTGCCAACGTCATTGTCCGTCTTCTGCTTTATGAGGCTGATTTCTTCCCACACTCAAGGCTCTGACATTTTGTTCTCATGTTTTCATGTGTCCTTTCTCCTGCTGTATTTGGGATAAGGGTGGAGGATTAATTTATTCGAATAAGTTTTCTTCCAGTTTTTTGGAGATATTTACTACTACTTCCTTCACGGTGTAATATGAATTGTTAGAGCCATCCATAGCCTTAAATGAAACTCACGACTCATCCAACATAAAGTCATCTGTATTTTCCCAGTGGAAACCCAACTGTGACTTGCTAGGGAAACTCTCTGACTTCTTCACATTTAAATCCTAGCGAGCCTTCAGTCCCTAACCATCATTTGCTCCATGTCATAAGCCATTTGGGTGGTGTCTGAAGCTTTCGTTCATGCCAGCCTCTAATACATTCTCAGAGCATTTGTGGGTTTAATTTTTGCCTCTTTTATGTGTTCAGATCACTTGAACACCATTCGAAATTATGGAAGTTATTTCATTGGCTCTGCAGATATGTGTGGTATTTGTAGCTTGCTTTATGTCACTGGCATTAAAGACTGATATCTGAGATACATTTCTCCCTCTCAGCCCCCGACTGGTTGTTAAATTGCAACTCCTCTGTTATCAGAGATAATCAAAGCTGGACACTGAAGTGGTGAGGACAGATTTTAATCCATCACGTGCTGGTAGAGTAAGGAGCAGGGCCCGGCTTGACCTGGCACGACCCTCTGTTTGTAGGAAGTTGCTAGGCGTTTCAAAGGGAAAATCAGGGAGTGGCGGAGTCAGTGGATTAGTCCGGTGAGGAACGTGAAAGTTAGAAAGTGATGATTGGTATGCGTGATGAGCTTTGTCTTCTGGAGTTCTGTTCGGCCACGGACCCGGGGAGACTGGAGCCCTGTCCTTCCTGACAATTACATTTCATAAGAATGGCTTTCGGGTCCTTGAGAAAGGACAGGAATTAATTATGTGATAGTCTCCTCACTTTAATGATTCAAAAATATTATACCCAGCCTTCCCTGTTCAGAATCGCGAGAGACTAGATGACGTGGACAGATTAGTTGGGTCCTGGACAGGTGAGTCCTTGAGGCACTGATGCTTTTTGCTGAGGCAGGGGCAGTCTCAAAAAAAAACCACAAAACCTTACGAACTCGAGTTAGAATCATGGGTGATGCTGCTCACAGCTTCCAGGATACTGTGCTTTTGGCTGACAGCTAGATAGCAGAGCTGAGCTGGGATGGTTGCAGTCTAGAATCGGGGGTGCCCTCCAAGCACGGCAGAAAGCAAAACAGACCCGACTGTACTCAAGCCCAAAAGTAACCCTTAGATGAATATCCGAGAATGAGTGAGGAGATAGTTTAAGAGAAATGGCTGTAAGTTTTCGAACACTGATGAAAAATATGAATCTGCAGATCCATAACACCCCAAGCGGTGGGGAAAGAGAAAGTCATGCCTAGACACAGCGCAGCCATGCGCATGGCACTGAACACAAACAGCAGCTTTAGAGAAAACAGGTCATGTGCAAAGATTTATACATTAGAATTGCAGAATTAGCCATAAGGGGAGAGGATAGTGGAAAAATGGCTTCGAAGAGTTGAGAGAAGGTTATAATCAGTATGAGACTGAATGCCCAACAGAACAGTTGGAGGATGAGAATACATACATTTACAGATTAAAAAACAGCATTTACCACCAAGAGACTTACACTAAAGGGTTTAAAAACGCCTTTCTTTAATAACCTACTCAAGTGTCTAAATGTTTTAGGAACAGGAACTAAATCTCCAATTCCAGATGCTTTAAGTGGAGCCAGAAGACAAGAATGAAATAGAATGGTTGCCAGCATAGTTTTCTTCACATATAGACTGTTAGACTCCAGGTAAAGCTGAAGTTCATGCACTCGTAGGGGTTCGTTGTATTTCTGCTCGTTTCCCTAATTGTTTTTATTGTTTTTGTGATCTGAAGTGGAACTGAGGTTTATGGAGATACAAATGATTGGGTGAGTATTCTATAAGGTCTTCTTTTACTACATGGTTCTTAATTTTTTAAAAGAACCAATGATTAGTAGTAATTTCAGTTTTTTGTCTTGTCTTTTCTGTACTTGGATAATTAGTATGTTTATGCTGGACATTTGGTAAATGAAAAAAAAAAAAAAAGTTTAAAGTTTAAATGTAGGAAAGACCACAGTCAAGGAGTTTATCCAAGAAGTGAAGGGTCCTATGATTTCAAGAGCTGCAGAAAGGCAGTGGAGATGAGACTGAAATAGTTGGCCTCATCGTGTATAACGAAGGGGATCACCGATAACTTTTAATATATGTTCTGTGGGGTGGAAGTCGAAGCGAAATGACCTTGAGTTTAAGAACTAGATATCCTAATAATAGGAAGGAAATATTTGGCCTTATGTAAAAAAGAAAAAACGCTCTCGTCACAGTACTTAGCCTTTGCTGGCGCTTACTGTGTCAGATGTGGGCTAAGAGCGCTCTGCGTGGTTTTGCATCTGGACCTTATGACAGTCTCTTTAGTGTGATGCCCTCATCATCTCCATTTTGGATGAGGAAATGGAGACTTAAAATAGCGTGAGTGCTTTATTCAAAGTCAAGCTAGAAGTAGCAGAGCCGGAATGAGTAACCAAACCGTCTGACTCTGCAAAAATGTCTCCCGTACAAGAGTTTTGCGTGGCACCCTGGGCTGACGAGCCCATCTAGGCAGTTGCCACACTGGCCATCTGGATGTATTTACGTGTTCTGCGAGATTCATGCCGTGCAGAGGAGCTGCCGGAGACGGTGCCGGCAACGCGGGTGGGGCAAAGCCCCTGCGGCCCGGTGGGGCCTGCTGACAAACGCAGGTGCCGCTTCCCCGTGGCGCGTCAGGTGCTGAGTCAGCCATTCTTCACGTGCAGTTTTGATTTCCAAAACATTTTCATATGTGGCAAAAGATTTTAAGTTAGGATTTTTTTTTTC